GTTAATCCTGTGCGAAGGAAGTGACAGCTGACCTCAACTGCAGTCCTTCGCATTCCCACCTTGGCCATTCATCTTGACCGCCAGGAAACTTTCTCGTTCAACAAAGAGACCCAGCTGTTCCCTATTGCTGGCCTTGTGGCAGCCGAGCTCAACCGTACCGGCGAATCCAAAGACGCTGAAGCCAAGCAGGATGGTAAGGGCGAATTTTCTCCTCTGAAGGCGATAACTGAGCGTCATCATCCCTACTTTGTCGAGCTCCTGGCTGCTGAGGCAGGGGTTGAGCCCGTCGACATTCTTGACTTCGAAATGATTCTGTTTGACACCCAAAAATCTTGCCTTGGTGGCATGCACGAGGAGTTCATTTTCTCACCTAGACTGGATAATCTCAACAGCTCTTTCTGTGCCACTGTTGGCTTGATCGAGTCTGTTGCTGATTCCTCGGCACTGGATGATGAGACGTCTATCCGACTCATTTCATTGTTCGACCATGAGGAGATTGGAAGCCGTACTGCTCAGGGCGCTGACTCAAACCTCCTTCCCGCCGTCATTCATCGCTTGTCGGTTCTTCCTTCGTCTTCGTCCGACCAAGACGATGTATCTACAGCCTACGAGCAGACTCTGTCTACCTCCTTCCTCCTATCCGCCGATATGGCTCACGCAGTACACCCAAATTACGCTGCGAAGTACGAATCCGATCACCGTCCAGAGATCAACAAGGGCCCTGTCATCAAAATCAACGCCAACGCTCGCTACGCTACAAACTCGCCTGGCATTGTTCTTCTTCAGGAAGTTGCTCAAAAGGCGGCAGAAAATGGGGGCGAGGGAGTCCCTCTGCAGCTCTTCGTTGTCCGCAACGATTCCAGCTGTGGTAGCACTATTGGGCCTATGCTGTCTGCTGCACTAGGTGCTCGAACCCTTGATCTGGGTAACCCACAATTGAGCATGCACAGTATCCGTGAGACTGGCGGTACCTACGATGTGGGACACTCGATCCGCCTGTTTACCAGCTTCTTCAAACACTACTCGAGCGTTTCTAAACAGATTCTGGTCGATTGAGATTTCGACCTAAAATACCTGTTAGCGAGATCGCACATCTTATCATTCGGCATGCAGAGGCGCAGGATTAGCCTCCCTCATACATGAATGAACTAGAAATAAAACATACTATCGATGTTCTACCAGCCTCACCAAGCATCACTATCTCACTCTAACGCCATGAAGGTGCTTCTCACCAACGAGGGAAAACCCAAGGGCAACGATATAGAGTGTTCATTAGATGAAGTTGTGACTATGTCAGCTAAATTTGAGAGTCATCAACAGCAAGCTCTTGATCTAGAACAATAGGTTCCCTTGCCCTTGTTTCTCGCATTTGCGTAGAGCACATCTGTTATGGACCCTTTTTTTTGCTTTAAAGGGCAGGCGGTCTTTTCCAATATTAAGGCCTATCGCGTATCACGTGTAGACGCGTCTCTCAGACACGTTTCCTGGGTACCTGTGCTCAAGACAGCATCTTTGAGCTATCTTAATTTCAACAAGAGCATTTTATTGAAGATTTTGAATTACTTAACCTCAAGTGGTTTACATGTTTGAGTAGCTACTCATGGCTGCCAATTTCTTTAACAACAAGGCCCGAGCTGCTGCTGCTGCCGCAGCGTCCACCAGTTCGAAGCAAAAGCCAACAGATGGAAAGGAGGAGCAGACACGGCTGCAGCCATGGGTTGAGAAATAGTATTTGCTATCTAGTTCATTGTCTATTCTACGCAATGGTTGTTCTAACGGAGATCAATAGCCGTCCCAAGACCCTCGATGATGTAGCCGCGCAAGACCACACCACGAAAGTCCTTCAACGGACATTACAAGCTTCAAATGTACGACATACAAGACTTTTCACCAAAATAAATTCACAGGTGAACATGACTGACACAATTAGCTCCCTCACATGCTTTTCTATGGTCCCCCAGGTACAGGAAAGACCTCGACCATCCTCGCGCTTGCAAAATCGCTATTCGGCCCTGCTCTTTATCGGTCACGTATCCTCGAACTGAACGCCTCAGACGAACGTGGTATTGGCATTGTCCGAGAAAAGGTCAAGGGATTCGCCCGCACGCAACTCAGCCAACCCACAGGATTGGACTCGTCATATTTCGAACAATACCCTTGCCCACCGTTCAAGATCATCATCCTGGATGAGGCGGATAGCATGACTCAAGATGCACAGTCTGCGCTCAGACGCACGATGGAACAATACAGCCGGATCACCCGTTTTTGTCTCGTCTGCAACTACGTCACACGGGTCATAGAGCCGCTTGCCAGTCGATGCAGCAAGTTCCGCTTCAAGCCGCTGGATAATTCGGCCGCTGCGGAGCGCTTGGCGCATATTGCCAGATTGGAAAATTTGAAGCTTGATGAGGGCGTCATTGATAAGCTGATTAGCTGCGGTGAAGGTGATTTACGGCGTGCCATTACATACATGCAGAGTGCGGCCCGGTTGGTAGGCGCTGGTCGTCCGACGGGTCAAAAAGATGGGGACGAGGACTCTGAGATGACAGACGCCAGCTCAGAACCTATCACTGTGCGAATGATCGAAGAGATTGCCGGCGTCGTCCCTGAAAGTGTTATAGATAGACTCGTTCAGGCCATGCAGCCGAAGAAATTGGGGTCTTCCTACGAGGCTGTCTCTGTCGTTGTCACGGATATCGTTGCGGATGGGTGGAGCGCGGGTCAGCTTGTCTTGCAGGTAAGCTCTGTTCTCATTCCCTTGAAAGGCTCCGTTCAATTGCGAGATTCCATCCTTGTGGTCAAAGATGCTAATAATCCGCAGCTGTACCGACGGATTGTCTACAACGATGCTATTCCAGACATACAAAAGAACAAGATTGTAACCGCTTTCTCTGAGATGGACAAGCGTCTGGTCGACGGCGCAGACGAGCATTTATCGATACTAGATCTCGCTCTCCGGATATCAGGCATCCTAGGCGGCTCATGATTTTATTGATCTACACGTAATCAAGGATTTCAGCGCCTAATATCACACATGAGGGCCATAAAATTGTTAATGTAATAGATGTATTGAAGTATTCGAGCATGGGAGTATCTGGTAGATCTTGACTGCTCATGCGCCACTTGATGAGGATTCTGCTCAGGACAAGGCAATTCCGAAGTGGTATAGGAGTGTACATTATCAAATGAAGACCGAAGACATGGTGATCACGCTACAATCTCTAATATTACTGCTACTCCCCACGTATGAAGTATGACTATATGAGCATCTCCGATCCTCTGGCGATGCCCCACAACCACGTGTGGGCCCCGCTCGCGCATATGTCCGAAGAGTCAGCAGCGTACAGGTAAGCTGACCGACATCGCAGCTTAACAGTCACTACTTGGATTTGGTGTCTCAGTCTTGTCAGCCAATTCCTGGGAGTTTTTCTCTTTTATATATCTACGGATAGTTTCCAGGCCCCGAAGCATCAGGACCAAGTATAGAAAGACCAGAATGGCCCCTCCGGAGAGTCCTCAGCCGTACCCCGCGATGACGACCGTACCCCGCTATCTAACAGGGAAGAAGGAGGAGATCAAGGAGTTCTTGGATAAATTCGATGTGAGTCTACCCAGTACACGTTCCAATGACATGCACTTATACGCTTATTCTGATCAAGAAGCTGACTGGATCTATTAGGTATTTCTGTTCGATTGCGATGGTTCGTGCTGCCCTTCTTCGCTCACTCATTCGGTGCAATGGGCATGATGATTCCGCGAATGCCCGATCCAATTCGCTGGGGCGATTGCTGAACAAAATTTCTGATATAGGAGTCCTTTGGTCTGGCGACCACCTCTTCCCTGGGACCGTCGAGACGCTGGAAATGTTGAGGAGCAACGGTATGCGCGCACCTGCTGGGGAGAAGCTGCAAGCTAGAGACTCATATCCACTAGGCAAGCAGGTCGTTTTTGTCACGAACAACAGCACAAAGTCTCGAGCCGACTACAAAAAGAAACTGGAGAAGCTGGGGATCCCTAGCACAACGGTATGTCTTCAAGCGAAAGCTTGCGGAGACTGGGCCAGAGTAGAGGGTTGTGTACACCGGGCTAGGCTGACAGAAGAAAACAGGAAGAAATCTTTTCCTCCTCGTACAGCGCATCCATTTATATTTCCCGTATCCTCAAACTGCCAGAAAATAAGCGAAAGGTTTTCGTCATCGGCGAGACAGGCATTGAGCAAGAGCTTCAAACGGAGAACGTTCCATTCATTGGAGGCACAGATCCTGCGTATCGTCGCGAAGTGAGACCTGATGACTACAAGCTTATTGCAGCCGGCGACCCATCGTTACTTGACCCCGAGGTCGGAGTCGTTCTCGTAGGACTGGACTTCCATCTGAACTACCTGAAGCTGGCTCTGGCATATCACTACATCAAACGTGGTGCGGTTTTCCTTGCGACCAATATCGATTCCACACTTCCGAACTCAGGAACACTATTCCCCGGCGCGGGTTCCATGAGTGCGCCGCTTATCATGATGCTGGGCGAGGAGCCTGTCTCGCTAGGCAAGCCCAACCAGGCAATGATGGACGCGATCGAGGGAAAATTCAAGTTCGATAGATCTCGGACGTGTATGGTGGGGGACCGCGCCAACACCGACATCCGGTTTGGGTTAGAAGGCAAGCTCGGAGGCACTTTGGGTGTCCTCACTGGAGTCAGCTCAAAGGAGGACTTTCTAACTGGGCCTATTAGGCCTTCGGTGTACCTAGACAAACTTTCCGACTTTTTAGAAGCGAAGTGAAGTAGCATCACTGAGCACATCTCCCGTTGCTGACTTTCAGGCATCGGCCCCCGGTAAAGGCACTTCGAGGAGAGATTCACCGTCGATAGATCTCATCAAGATATCCCATAGAGTTGTTATATAATTTGACATATAAAATGGTCACCGAGGGAATTGCATCCATGCGCAAGCAACACTAGATGCCCTTGACGGCTCGACAGGCCATCCGAAGTTCTCAGGCAGGTCACGCTTCCTGGGGCCTGAGGAATGCCTTCAGTTTCCACAGCGCCAGAAGAGCTTGAACGGCCGCTGGGTTGACGGGGCTCAGGATCAGAGCAGTCTTCTCAAAGTGTGGACCATAGCTCCTGATTTCTGCTAGATCGGCTGGAGACAATAGCTCAGGCAGGTCAAAGACGGGTACTCTCGACTGGGACTGTGGAAGGGTCACCAAATCCGGATACAGAGACTTTGCTGGTTCGTGATCGTGAACCTGCTCTTGAGCGGTTTCAAAATCTCCATTCTCGCGTTGTTCCAACTGACGGCCCATGACCAGCACCCCACCGCATTCCATGCGCTCGATCTTCTCCAAGCGTCCTAAGCCTTCCAGAAGAGCATCGTAAGAAGTGTCTTTGACCTCAATGATCCTTAAAGACCCGAGCCTTGATTTCGACCGCTTCTGCGCACCGTACATGTCTTTGAGTCTCTTTAGGACATGCTTCCGCATTCTCTCAAGAACGAACTCAGGCATGTCCTCCCGCCAAATCAACCGTTTCTCCTCTCGAGTTGTAAGGGGTCCCAGCGGGTGCTTCCATCGAAAAGGCACCATTCTTGTGATCAGGGGTCTTCTCCCACTCTTGTTTCGCGCAAGCGGTATGGTTAAGTCCTTCAGCAGGGGAAGACGGTCGATAATTCGTAGAGTGAGGGAGCGAAGCGATCTGTTCTTCGGAGATAATTGTTCGGCTTGATCATGTTGATCAGCTTGCGTGACTTTCGAGGACGATAATTCGTCGCGTAGGAGACCAACAGGCATGAACCAGAGCCCCTCGTCGTCCGGGCGTTGGACCAGACCCCAATCCGTAAAAAACTCCCGTGGCAAACGAGTTCCGGTAACTGTACACATACGTAGAGGCGATGCCAGTGCTACTGCCCAGGGATTGAGACGTAACCGGTCTGCATCACTCTGAGTTGGCCGATTCTTGCGCTTCTTCTCGACTCCGGGAAGTGCTTTTGTGAGCAAAGGCGATTGAGGCAGTAGCTGCGAAGGACGGACAGATTGAGCTGTTTGAGATGATGCTTCTCCGGTTTTCCTCACATTGCCCTGATCTAGCTCCTGCGCGTCGGCTTCATTCTGAGATTCTGGGCTTCGCGACTCGTCCCGGCCGATGGAGCTTGAGATTCCACGCCGAAGGACGCGATTGGACGATACAGGGTTTGCAGCTGTGAGGAAAAGTTGACGAAACGTAGCTATTCGCCATGACGCGTATGAAGCGCGTTGTCGGCAGCACTCCATGCTCTGCAGCTGTTGTGGTCGGACATGAAAACACAAGCTGAAGAAATCCGCGAGTAAGCGGAGAAATCAGTGATTTGAGCTCTCCGCTCCCCGCTCTTTGACTCCTACTCCAAATCCCGACCAGTCCCTTGGTCTATAACTATAACAGTATCCTGCCTTTATCTCATGCACCCTGAACTAGGGTCAGGCCTGGTTCAACTGATCAGCTACCTCCTCATGGTGGCCTTATTATACTAAAAGCTGATGGGGTCTGGGTAGTCCAACAAACGCTTGGAGGGTAGTAGGCTTTCTCTCTAGACATTCCCTCGGAAAGAGAGCTGAGCTACATCAATCTAGCGCGCCTTTGGCCAGGAATCGATTATTGGGCCGTCACTTACCAGTTAGGAGTGACGCTCCCGCGCGTGGTTTGTGGGGCCTGTATCCCAACTCTACAGCTTTCAGAACTAGCTATGTGTCTAGCACTCTAGCTTGGCTTGGGTGAGCTGGCTAGAACTACAACGACTTATAGGCTCTTCACACCTAGTTTGAAAACGGTGACTATGGCAGAATGTAAAGCTAAAAGCTTCTAAATGATCCTTGATAGCCAGGGCTCACGTGTCACCGTGCCATCCAACACGGTGGAACCCATGAAGACGATGAAGTAAGCGTAGATCGGGTATGTATGCACTTTTTCCATCAAGAACATAGATATCCCCGCCACTTTCACGGCATCGGCGGCTTCCCTTCGCCTTCTCCTCCTTCATTCTGCGGCTTTACCCTACGGTCCAGAATCTCGTCGACGATGCCCATCTCCAAAGCCTCCTGCGCCCCCATGAAGTAATCACGCTCCATTAACTTCTCGATCTCCTCAAGAGACAGCACTTTCTTCCCCGTCAGGTGCCGCTGGTAGATCTTGTTCAATTGGCTGCGAACACGGAGAATCTCCTTGGCGTGAATGGCGATATCGCTCGCTTGTCCGAAGTACCCGCCCGAGGGCTGGTGTATCATGATAGACGAGTGTGGGAGGCAGTACCGTTTCCCCGGATTGCCGCCGCAAAGCAGTAGCGATCCCATGGAGGCTGCCTGTCCAACGCAGATTGTGCTGACTGGGGATGCGATGTAGGTCATTGTATCGTAGATGGCCAGACCTAGGTATAGGTATGTTAGATTAGTCCTTTTATACGAACGACCGCGATATCGGGGGCATTGGATTTACCAGCTGTCACTGAGCCACCAGGGGAATTAATGTATAGGTGGATAGGTTTCTGAGGGTTGTCGGCTTCGAGGAAGAGGAGCTGGGCGACTATCGACGCGGACATGGTTTCGTCTACTTCGCCATTTAGGCAGATTATGCGCTCCTGGAGAGAGAGATGTAAGTAAGGGCAATCCACATTTCACGGAGTTCACTCTTAGAAAATCTGTTATACCTTTAACAATCTGGAAAAGATATCATCTTATAAAACCCGTTGTTAGCTTGGCGTTGGCTCCAACGATTGATACGCGGCCAACAAACGTACATGTGTGCCAACCGCCTCCCTATCGCAGTGAGTCAGTGAGTCAATCTATCCAGTACTCAAACATCTCCAAAAATTGGGACTCACCACTGTTTCAGTCACAAATGGTGTTGGGGTCCACCCTCTCGGAGGGATTGCGCTGGACAATGCGGGGATGGTGCTGGTGAAGCTTCGAGACAATACAGGCTGAAGGGCGGTGCGGCCCAGCCTTTTCAAGAAGATGCTTGAGTTCATGACCAATCAATGAGCGAGTGAATGGTAATCAAGATGCAGTTGTCTCGTCATTGAAGTGAGCGGTGGTTCTGTTTTTTGAAGTTTTGATCGAGCAAGGTACTGCTATACCCGGTCAGGATTTGGAGTAGGAGCATCGGAGAGCGGAGAGTGGAGAGCGGAGATGTCAACCATAACCACACGCCCAAAAAAGGTGTCTAGACAACCATTTCTAGCGTAATAGAAAATAGTAGTGTAATGTTGTGTTCAACACACCATTCCCACGGTGGGTAGCATCTCTTCCTGCCAGTTGGCTCTGCCACGGTACGACTTACTAGTGTATCTACCATGTATCAGCTAGCCATATAGCTGGTTCCCATCACTTGACGAGCATGCATTGGCATGATCTAGATATGTATTAACGTCGGCATATTTACAGAAGAAGCTATTGATAACCAATGCGTGAACAACGGCAGAAAAGAGTCAGGATTCTATCCGCTGAACACGACCGTCAGGCCCGACCTGCAGTCCAAATCTTGCTCGTAGAAAAGCCGCCGTCTGGTCGGACGGTATGTACGAAGATGTTCCTGCCGGCGGAGTAGTCGTACTATATTTCCACTGGTCACGTATGACATCAAAGAAGCCAAGATCCATGATCACAGCCTCTCCTGAGGAGAATGTGTCCAGAGGGTGGCTATTCTTCGCACCAGGCGTATGGCCACCCTCTGACGGGTCTGCCAATAATTGTGTATGTTCCGCCTGTTCATCTACACTGGCATTTGCATGGGTAACATGGCCGTCGGTCTCATCAAGCTCAGCACCATCACCGGAAGACCGCGATTCGGGTCGAGTCCTATGGACGCCTCTTTCCTCCGAGTCATGGTCTTGTACTCTGGGCGTTTCTGTAGAAGTAGGGGTCGTTTGCCCTGTTGTTCTCACTCTTTCGACTATGAGACCCAGCATGACGAGATCGAGAATCAGCACAAGAAAATCGAGCAACAATAGCCGAAATAGCGAAATGGGGGCTTTTTGTCCGATGAAATCGATCAACAACCCTCCATGAAGATACCCTCTAGTAGCTTCGCCGGCCTCGGGACGGCTGAAGAAGTTGTGGAAGATCATACAAAAGATGTTACTGACGAAGATGGCTCCGATGAAGGGTTGATTCCGCGTCGGATCAAAAGGAGGGGCTTTGGGGGTGAAGAATATCAACTGCACTATAGCACGGATTGCGAAGAGTATGACTGAGCAACTGGAGCAAATCAATGAGAGTCCTGTTAGTAAAGCGCAAGCCACACTCCGACGACGTGCTCCGTAGAGGAATTCCAGAAAGCAGTCACGATGAAATTGAGGCAGCTCACTCCATGTAATAGAGCGCAGATAGCTCGCAGTAAATCAGGATATCAAGGTCGCGAAGTAAACGATCAATGAACGCGACCTTGGCAGCCGACTGCAGCTTTCTCATGCGCTCATTCTCGCGAGGCAACACATTAGCATCTTGCTCGGTGAGGTTCGCGACGCTTCCATAAGATATGCCGGACACGTCAGCGATGTACTCCGCATCTCGAAAGGCATCTGGAGTTGTCATAGAGGTTCATGAGGGCATGAAAGGCGAGTTTGGAAAAGAGGGGAAATCAGACACCAGATCGGTGACGAGGGACTGCTATATGCGGAGCGTCAGTATGCATGCAAATAGGCTGACAGCCCGCTCGGTAACAGCTCTCCTCGCCCGTCCACAGTTTGTCATGTGACGTCAAATCACCTGCAATTACGGAAGCAACGGACAGATATACTTTATTTATTCAAAATAAACAAGATTAAACATGCAATGGCAAGATGGCCGAGTTGGTCCAAGGCGTGAGGTTAAGGTACACCTTAATAACAAGCTCTTAGAGTTTCCTCATCATCGTATGATGGCGTGGGTTCGAATCCCACTCTTGTCAGATCTTCTTTCTTTTAAGTGCTTTTAGCACTTACTGTCTTAAAACTATTTCCCTTTTCTAATTTTTAATTCTGGGTTGTTAAAATCTCCAGAAATGATTACTTTTTATTCGTATCTCATAATTGAAGCGAATTACTGGCGGATATGCTCTGCATTGATAGATAGGTCCATCTACATCTATAACTCATCTCTCCGGTCTTGTTCGACTTCCGTAGCTTCGTACATGCGTTTCTTTGGATTTCGCGGTATCTCTTCCTGTCGTTGCCTTTCTTCTGGCGACACGTCGTCGATGTTGGTTTCTTCCCCCAATTTGCTGTTCTTTTCTACCGTATCGCCAATCCGATCAATCAGCCGATCAGTTTTAGGTTGCTCTCCAGAAGCCTGGGCTTGGTCCCAAGAAGCGCTGATGGAAGCACTAAGCATGGCTGCTGTTTGTCCCAATGTTGGTGCTTCCTGAGGCATGCTATGGCTGAGTGATGCTGAAGATTGTGATTGAACGGCCGTGCTAGTGATCCCGACTGTTCCAAGGATAGCGAACACGGACCTCGCTATCAATTTAATCGGCAGCCATACAAGCCACCAGAGCGGTCCATATAATATGCGACGGAATATGAGCCAAGATATTGTTCCAACAAGGATGTAGAATGCTGTTTCCAGGTACCAAGTGTCAGACTTTTGGGACCGGAGGAGAGAACCGATGAGATTGCGGGAGGATGAGAGGAGAGAGTCCAGATCAGTGTAAGACTCCGATAATGAGGATAGGGCAGCTGTCGATTGCTCTGTGGTTATAGAATTAGCAGATTGAACACAGTCTCCCAATGCAAGAATAACGAACCTAGAGTTTGGTGAGCAAATTGACTTCGAGATAGTTCTGCCTGCATCAGCTGGTGCGTCCTGCGCAGTGCGGCAGTAACATCGCTTGAGGCGTTCTTGACAATATCACCATGCGACAGCTTCTCGGTCGATTGACTTCGGCGCTCAGCGCTCTGTGACCTCGAAAACAATAGCTCTCTCTCCTTGCGTTTTGCAGCCTCCGCGTTTCGTTTCGCCTGGAGCTGAGCATTGCGAAAATCCACCCTCGTCCTAGGCAAGTATGTTAGCAGGATAAATGTAACCTGGAGAGGCGCTTCACCTCTTGATCTCCTCGGCCAACCTCCCCGCCAACAATACGATCCGCTCCTTTTCCAGCTCTTTCGCATTGTCCACACCTCTCCGTCCGCTTTCGTTGCCAGTCTCAAGAGCATCGACCTCGACCTTCAGGATCTCCATCTGCTCTTCCGCCTCTTTCAATGAGCCATGTATTTCCTGTCCTAATTCTAGGCGGGCCTCGTCACCTTGACCAATAGCCACTGTGAAATTCCTTAGGCGATCGATGAGCGGGTGTATCTGAGCCAGAGCTATTGAGAGCTCTTTGAGGCGAGCTTGGAGAGCAGCTGTTGAAGCCATCGTGGCAGTGTGTATTTGAGGTATATCAAGATTGTTCGATAGTATGTGCACAGGTCGTGGGATATGTCCAAAATATTGAATATAGAGAGGTCAGAAATCCACCATGGCAACCCAAAGCTGTCGTTCTTAGAGCTTCGCTTTGAGAAGTCGATTCCCTTGCTGTCCACTGCGATTGCTTTGCGGATGACCACTCGTGTCCACAATCAACAGCGTCATCGGTTCCTGAGGCCACAAAGTGTTTGCACCTTTAGCAAACATAACTCTCCGGCCGCCGACTGCGAGGTAATTTTCTAGGTAGATCAGGAACGGGCAACGGCCTCATCGCTATACAATTGATTTCTGTATCTCAAAGCCACCATCCTCAATTCCCAAGGGTCCGACTGCGCCCGTCGCTGTTCTCCCCAAAAACCAAACGGACTCACTCAATTGACCGGCTCAAGCGCGGAAAGCTGGCTTAACCGGCATCCGACTCGCGGTAACCATAAGGTCTTGTAGGTTTGTCCCATCACCTTCAGCAAACGACTCCCTGCGCTCTCAACTAACTCCTTGAGCAGCGAAACCAATTGACCATTCCATCCTCCTATTCGAACATCCATTAAAAGAAGGCCCCACCAAAATGACCATCCCACTGCACACAATCACCTCCTTCCGGGCGACCTTCAATCCGTTCTCCCGGTCTGCTCGTCCCTGCCGCTTGCTCCTCTCTCTCCTCCGCAACCCTTCAACCACACCCGCCTCGAGTCCGACGCACATTGATATCCAAGTTACTCAGCTGCCGCGCCACTCGACACAGCTCCCCGAGATGACGGTAGGGTTCAGAGGAGGCAAGGAGGTCAAGATCGAGGTGGGCAAGAACCAAATGAAGATCGGTGATGTGATCGAAGAACTTGCGCGTGTGGGACGGAGTATCGAGCGAGAAGAGACCCTCAAGGGTTAATTTTCGGGTCTGTATATTGTTCTTCGTGGTTTTCTAGGTATCATTGCGGGTTTTACGCTACGGCGCCGAGGACATCGGGTTCGAGTTTTCTCATTGTGCTTTTGTACTATAGAAGGGGAAGGGCGAGTAATGATTGCTGTGTGTGAAATTGGGAAAAGACGTTGACGAGCCATAACCTGAGTTGACGACCTTTGTATATATTAGCATTGAACAAGATATTTCTACTTTTCAGCCCGCCAGACCTGTTTATCTATGAGTCTTTACAGCAATATGTAAGCTCCAGGGAAAGATGCATTAATCCACTAGACGGTTTCTACGAGATCAAGATCAGTCCAATCACTTTCTACAGAATATGAGCAAATGCGGGAATATGCAAAGTACTAAGTATTCGCCCTGAGGACGAACGGAATGGATTTTAAATTTCTAGAACTTTTGTTCAATATAGATTTAAACAGCAGCACCAGAGATGAAGAACCACTTGTCAATGCTGCCATCAATGGGGGCAGGAGGGAGGTTCTCGCCCTTGGGGATGCTGGCAAGCTGGGAGGGGTCGGCGCGGTCAGTGGAGTTCTCAACAGAAGTGTTGGCACTGTCAAAGTCAGTTGAATCCTTGCCGCGTGGGTGTAACTACGGTTAATGAAGTACTTACAGGCTGATATCGCCACGAGGGCTCTTGCCGGTGATGAGCTTCTCCCAAGCGTCAGCGCACTCGCGGATAACATCGAGAGCGTACCTAGAAAAGAAAAATGTTAGCATAAAAAGATGATACCAGAGGCAGTAAGAAGGAACCCACTTCTTGTTCTTGCACTCGCCAGAGAAGGCAAACTGGTTCTCGGGCTTTCCGTCGGGGATCTTGTAGATACGGAACCATTCGTTGGTAGCACGGAGAAGGCCAGGAAGGTGACGCTCAACATCCTCAATGTCGTTGAGCTTAGGGGCAAGAGGGTCGTTGATATCAATGACGATGACCTTCCAGTCGGTCTCCTCCTCGTCGAGCAGAGCCATCACACCAAGAACCTTGACCTGCTTGACCTGACCGGGGTAGCCAACAAGCTCACCGATCTCGCAGACATCGAGCGGGTCGTTGTCACCTTTGGCTTTGGTCTCGGGGTGAACAACGTTGGGGTCTTCCCAGGTCTAACCCATCGAAAAGTCTCCGGTTAGCATTGATTGGCTTGGACGTGCACCATGTCCATGAATTGGCTTACCTGGGGGAAGGCACCGTAGTTCCAGAGGTAACCCTTGTGGGGGAAGCAGTTACGGACGAAACGGAGCTTGCCCTTCTTGACATCCTGCTTAATGGGGTTCAGGAACTCCTCCTTGGAGATCTAAATATCCAAGCTGAATCAGCGAATGCTCCGTAACAGAAAACAGTAATCGTCTAGTGTCTCGAGGATCCGGATTGCGTACCTCCTGCTTGGCGTTGGTCCAGCGGGGAATCTCAACAACCATGTTGAGGATTGTCTGCTCAGGGTTGGCGTAAAGGGGAATGTCGTGGAAGGGAGAAACCGGGACGCCATCCTTCTCAATGTAGACACGGTGCTCCAGGGTGTTGGCCTGGCCGATCTTGCGAACGGTGTAAGACATGTTGGGCGATTGCGGCGGGGTATACGAAGAAAAATGTCTAGAAAGAAGAGCAGCACGAGTTGACGCGGAGCTGACCGACGAACGAACTCTTGACGATGATGACGAAGACAAATTTGCTTGTTGAGGGGAGGAGGAGGAAGAGAAGGAGGAGGAGGACGAGAGGGAGGAGGGAGGAGGGGCTTGTCGAGTGGGGGGAGCCAGCGTTGCTGATGTGCGTGGACTGGGCGAACGAGAGCGGGCGAGGGTCGGTGAGGCGGTGGACAGTCGGAGCAATGGAGACAGGGGCAGTAGTGTTTTGCTGCTCATGCGCAGAGCCACCGGGGACATTGATTGTATATTAATAGGAAGGAATTCGGGCAGAGTTCCTCAATTGACAGATCTAGATTGATTTAAAGCTTGTGATCGTGACCTTGGATCGGCTTTACGCCGTTTATAGCAGCTGTTCCAGCGAAGGGGATCGAAGACAAAAATTGCTGGAAATTATCGGGATGGAAAATCGGCGTCGGGAATTCTGGCGACAGGTGTCCGAGGCCCATCTATAGAGCCACTGATCGCTATACAAAAGATACCTAGGTACAAAGACATTCTCCCTCTCTAATTTATTGACCATTTACCTTCTCTTTTTGCTGCCGGTTGTTGTTCAATTTACTCTTGCAAACATACTAGGAAACAGTGCTCAAATATGACCATCCACCACTGTTTATCGGACGTCTCTCAAATATACCCAGAAGGTACCAGAGGTAGTCGGCACGACAAAGATCCTCGGTGCATGGGACAATGACGGGCGGGGCTCCGCAATCTATATTAATGCTATTCCGCTGCTGTGATGCTAGTCTGTCATTATTTGAGGTAATGGTGATATCTACCTCGGCGTATAATCGTGGTACTCAGTAGGTAGTATGATGCTCCCAGGTACCCGACGTGTGCGGGTATTGAGACCCATACTATTGAACAATGACCAGCTCACAAGGCCATTATTGGTGAGAAGAACAATAGCTTTAACTGTTCAGGTCAGATCCCTCGATATCTGGAGCCCTACATTCACCTTACAGGGGTCGCGGCGCCTGACCTAAATAACCTTATTTTCACCTGGCCTCTTAGTCCGCCATATTATGACGATGGTACGGATACCTTGGTTTACTCTATGTGCTTCGGAGTATTGAGGACTACCTATGTATTGCTCGGGCAGGGGGGAAGCTGCAACATAAGCACAGCAATTATTTTGTCTAAATCGGAGAGAGAAATCAGTTCTCAATATAAGAAAGATGGTGACAGAATACCAACATATATCTGCCTATTCCTCCAAGAATTTCTCCAACCGATATCCGTCTGGCGAACGGAGGACTCCGAAGTAGCGATACGAAGCTTATCAGATTTATCTTCACGTGACTTTCACTTTTTCATCTCCGCCTTTTCAATGTCCGTCGCCATCCACTTTGTAGTTCGTCGATTTACACTTCTGCAGGACAACTTTATTTTATACACCACGTTCCCTGTCATTCACTTGCACTTTGTCGTGTCTCAAAAAGTCAATAATGCTATGCTAAGATTCCTCCGATCCGCAATGACTTCGCTCACGACACCCCGCGTTCCTATCCCCGCCAATGGTGTCGACTACCGTGGCAAAGTAGTCCTGGCACCGATGGTGCGTTCGGGAGAGCTGCCTTCGCGTCTTCTCGCTCTCAAATATGGTGCGGATCTTGTTTGGGGCCCTGAAACGATAGACCGATCGCTCATCGGAGCTACCCGCCGAGTGAATCCTCGCAACGGATGCATCGAATATATCAGATTCCCCTCGAACGGTGGCCGCCCAGACAAACCTGCTCAGGAGTCCATTCTGTACCGGATTGACCCCGTGCGGGAGAAGGGAAAATTGGTGTTTCAAATCGGTTCTGCAAACCCGGAGCTGGCCGTCGAAGCAGCAAAACTGGTCGCAGGCGACGTTGCGGGGATCGATTTGAACTCCGGATGTCCCAAACCTTTCAGTACGAGTGGTGGAATGGGAGCAGCACTCCTACGGACCCCCGACAAGCTCGTCTCTATCCTTGAATCGCTTGTGCGAGAAGTCGGAAATCCTTATCAGATCGGCATCTCGGTCAAGATCCGTATCCTGGAGACACCGGAGAAGACAGAAAGCCTTGTCAAGAGACTCGTTGCCACAGGTATCACAGGCTTGACTGTCCATTGCCGCACGACACCGATGCGACCTCGCGAACGCGCCATCCGTGACCAGCTGGCGATGATTGCGCGAATCTGTCGCGAGGCTGGTGTTGCATGCGTCATGAATGGCGACGTCACCTCTCGGGACGAAGCGCTTGCGCTTATGAAGGAATTTGGAGTGGACGGGGCCATGATAGCGACAGCGGCCGAGGCGAACCCGTCATGCTTCCGCTCCGAAGCAGAGGGTGGTCTACTCCCCTGGAGGGAGGTGGTCCACGACTATCTTCAAGCCGCTATTGAGTGCGAGAACCGCTTCGGCAACACCAAATTCCTTCTGAACATCCTCATCCCCGGGAAGAACAGGGAATTCAAAGATGCAAAGACAGCAAAGTCTTATTCCGACTACTGCCACTTCCTCAAATTCGATGACCTACTTCCGGGGGCCGCCCAAGTGGACAAGGTCCTCAATCTCACCGACAAGTCCGTCTATAAGAACAACGAAACGGAGGATTCTGCTCGCGATATCGCCGTCAAAAACGCCCTCGAGAATAACGAGACGGCTCGTGCGGCAAGCGGCGCGCCCAGACCCAAAGCAGCCTCACCAGCTGTGAACGGAGGAGGTCCCATTCGCACCAGCTCCATCCCGGCCCCGGTCAGGTCGAAGCCAGAAGATCATCCTATCGACATCAATATCCCAGCTCCAGAGATGGCTCAAAAGCAGGAGCTTGCTGCATGAATATAACATCATCTTCCACCCCTAGTCCCGTCCGAGGACTTCCCATCTCACTCCTTTCTTCCTACTTTTTGATAGTACTGCATAGCTCGGTTCTAATTCTGCATGTTATGGTGTATGTATGGATGACCTTTACTGGGTTTTCTTTGTCCGGAGTTTGTTTTAGAAATCTGTTTATAGATTCCCATCTTTTTCGCTCCTGAATATATTCATTCATCGTGGTTTAACGCAGAGTATGTTCTACAATAATGAAACAGCAGTCTCTACATATTCCCATGGCGGAGAATACCCATATCGCGTCTGTGTGTCGCAGTTTGTAGCACGGCATTGATTAGGTCCAATAAAGGCGTGTAGTAATCAGCAACCGCACCGGAAAGAACAGTGCAAGGTCCAGCAATCATCCATCTATATTCGCCGCAAAGACAATGATTGTCTAGATGAGGTTAGCATCAACAGAGATAAGAGCCCACCAGCATGCTACTATATCCATCATTGAGGAGCTGCTGAGTAAAGACCAAGAATCAGACCCGGGCTGAATGCCATCTAGTGATGCTCACCTGGTTTATAAGTGAAGTGAGGCCTTTGTCTTACGTACTGTTGCATGACCAGCCACAGACACTTTGTTCTTCGCTCTCAAGAGGGGCTTGTGCTACAGCAAAGGTAGAGCAACTATTCTATCAAAGATATAGAGGACCAAAGATCTCTGGTTAACCCAATAATGCTCCTATTACTCTAAGAATGTCACCAACCGCTACAGGTGTTGGTGAATGCTATGGATGCTACCTTATAGAACCCCTGAAAAGAAAGACAAGTGCTGGGAACCATTGAACCCTGCCAGATCCGACAACACTAGAATGCACGTGTGTCCCTGAACAATCTGATAACATGATGATATGCAGATCGACTCGCTTGCAGCAGAACAGAAAACGCGTTCTAGACAGAAATCCAAGTCAAGATTAATCCAGCTCAACTGTAACCGATGAACCGAGGACTGGAAGAAGATCAGGCGTTCGTGCTATCTGTCTTCACCTCCTCTTGCTTTGCAAGAAGCATATCTTCCACGACCTTCATTCCAGCTTCTTCACCCTTCTTGCTCTCGGTTTCGTCGCCTGCAACGGCCTGGTCGAGAGCCAACTTGGTTTGACCAAGAGCGTAAATCTGCTCTTCGATCGTGTCCTTGGTGACAAGACGGATGACTTCTACCTCTCTGGTCTGTCCAACACGATGTGCTCGGTTCTCCGCTTGCACATCTTCCTGTGGGTTAAAGCTGGAATCGAAGATGACGACTTTGTTCGCACAGGCCAGATTGATTCCCGCACCACCAGCCTTCGTTGAAAGAAGAAATACAGGAATGTCGGTTCGTTCATGGAAAGCGTCTAGAATGGACTGACGATCCTCTACATTCGTCCGACCATCCAGGCGAACGAAACCCAGATGGAGAGTCTCAAGGACATGCTCGAGGATATCCATGACCAAAGTAAACTGGGAGAACACCAGTGTTCGATCCCCGTTCTCTTGGAACCGTTTGAGCAACTCGCAGAGCTTATCGACTTTTCCAGAGTTCATCCACTCGTCGTTTTTGAGGGCAAATTTCCCGAGGGAATGAGGGTGATTGAGACACAACTGATGACATTCAAAATCATTATAAGCCTGCAGCTCTTCGAAGATGATGTCTGGGTTGGACTGAGACCATTGCTCCTCCTTCAAGCAGGCCTTGGCCATACGGCTGAGGATGGTATCGGTATAGTGACGCCGGTATAACAAGGGATGTATAGCAGCCTGTCGAAGTTTCATCAGAATGTTGGCGGACCTGTTACCAGTCTTCTTTCCGGCGGCGCGGTCAGCGAGAAGCTGACGAACTTCTTCCTTTTCATGCTCATAGATCTCCCTCTGGGCGCTATTCAACTCGCAATACTCAACGTGAGAGATCTTACGGGGCAGGTCGATGACCTGATGTTTCTTCCGCCTCAATACAAACGGCTTGAGCATGGATTTGGCCCGTTCAATGCGCTGGGCCGAGAGAAGTGTGGAGTGGGACTCATCCACTGTCTTCGCCTTGTTTGCAAAGATATACTGGAGATCTTCCTTGCGTTCTTGGAAGACCTTTGGAAGGATGAAGCCCAGTAGTGAGGCCAGTTCTTGGAGATTGTTCTGCAACGGCGTACCGGTCAAGAGAAGTCGAAAACGGGCTGGAATCCGTATCAGCTTCTCATACAACACTGATGTACTGCTCTTCAGCATATGTCCCTCATCATAGACACAGACACAGAAGTCCATGTTGCGCAAGAAGTGGGCGTCAACCTTCGCCTTTGCGACAGTGTAGGTGGTGATAATCACATTGATGTCATCACGGTTATCTTCGATGGTCTGGCGGATCACGGCGCGTTCTGCTTGCCCTGCATAGTAGGGCATGACAGACAACGTCGGACAGAATTTCTGAAACTCCCGAAGCCAATTCTCGATTGTTGATGACGGCACAACCACCAAGTGCGGTCCTTTTATGCCCTTTTCATACAGATGCGCTAAAAATGCAATGACCTGGCATGTCTTTCCAAGCCCCATGTCATCGGCCAAAATGCAGCTCAACTGCTTCTCAAACAGCAAGGACAACCAGTTAATCCCCACGATTTGATAATCTTTCATCTTCAGGTCGTCACTCATGATACCGGGTTGGGAAATGAAACGAGACTTGCGTGAACCTGACGCAGGGCCATCGCTATCCTCGTCAGTACGCTGGCTAGCAGGTGTCCCAATGCCAGAATCGTGCGACTCTCGGTTAATCGATACCAGCTCCAATTCACCGTCCCGCTTTCCAAAGATATCAACGCCCCAGTTCTTCATTTCTGCTGCAACCGGGCGTCCAAGCGCTTCGCATTTAGCGACCAAAGAATCCACCGCTTCATAACCCACCCACATATCGAGACATTTGTCCACGATCTTGTCGCCAATTGGCTTCGGCGTCTTCCGGCCCCTGGCGCCCTTTGGTTTTGTGCTTTGCTCCGTTGATGGGGCGGGTACAGCGCGGGCCTCGTCTAGGGACCTAAATGGACGGTGGGAGATGATGATTTGGGCAACGTCCTCCGTCGTTGCAGCCAGATCTGCAAGCTCTACAGCCTGACACGTGTTGATGAACCTCAAAACCTTGATCTCGGATTCCACATTTTCCAATGCATCGCCAACACCAGAATCGGAGTCGTCAGTCATGATCAAAGGTGCTTCAGGTGATTCCGAACGTGCGAGCGAAGGCTGCTTCCGTCCCTGTACCAGTCGTCCAGGCTTTTTCTTGGGAGGAGTCTCGGAACGAGTAGGACTTGGGGAAACGCCACGACTCTTTGGTCCTCTCATCAAGCGTCTCCGTGGCTTTGCTTCTTCCTCGTCCAGCGGTTGTGGTTGCGACTGCGATTGGGCCTTCTGGCTTGCCAGGTTCTTCTGCAAGTTCATGGCCGACCACTTATCCTGGATTGTCCCTCGAGCTTTAATGTTTTGCTTCGCTGGTGCGATCTGTTCGGCTTGTTGAGCTGTAACCAATTCATCGTCAGATGAACCAGGTGCATCCCGTTCCTCTGTACTTGCCAGATGATCCAATGCATCCTCATAATTGCCCCGCTTGAACACAAGAGCTTGCATGCAAGCTTGGACCGATTTCTGCGGCATCACTTTCAACATTCTCTCCACTTTGACCCTCATCTGGTAATCTTGAACATCTTGTAATGACGTAACGGACACCTCCACTGGTTGCGCGCGGGAAGGGCCACTCTGTCTGGGCTTTTTTATGGGGATTCCTTTGGGGGTCGGGTCCATCTGGGAAGCAGAGCGTTTGACGCTCGGGTTGTAGACCGCGGAGGAGGTGATCTCCTTGAAGCGATCAAAAGAGGACGAAGAATTGGCGCTCACCGGGGAATCCATGACTTTTTCGGGACTTCGCGATGTCTTGGTGAACATGGATGGTTTGATATCCGTGCTTCTTTTCAGCTGAGTGTCTTCGTCGGAAGAGCCACCGACGTATGTTGGGCCGTCGTCGTCGAGATTTATGACGGGTGTACGTTTCGCAGGTCCGGCGGAGACAGGAGGGCAGAAGCGCGTTCCAGGAGGTGCCATGAAATTGGAAAGGCGACCTCCCAGCGAGGTAGGGCGGGAAGGCGAGGACGCCGGACCTGGGGGAGAAGAAGCGGCAACTTGGACTGTACTTTTGGCCGCATGAGGGACTTCAATGATTTGTGTCGGTTGAGTAAGTCGCTGAGAAGCAGGAGTCAACGATTGTGTTGCAAGTGATTGGAAAGGTTGAGCGGCCAGCGGAAGAGTGGCGATAGTCTCATATTCAGTATCATCCTTGACGCCGGTCGGAGGAGTACCGCGGACAATCTTCCTGTCGCTGACGGGGGTATCAGGGACGGAATCGTCCATGTTATCAATCGACAACAAGATATTAATTAATAAAGATTGAATTAAAGACGGAAAAATCAGACAGCAATGAAAGAGGAGCAAAACCCCAACGGAGCGCCAAAAGAGAGCTCGCCTGCTTCTCCAGAATCCATTCCATCACAGTCTTTTTTTCTCCAACAAACGCGGCGGACGCGCCTTGGTCACGTGAGCTGGCGCCTCAATTAAGACCAACTGGGAAACAAGAACACATAGCCCTGTGAATAATGCGGCATCCATGTGCAAGTCAGTCAGAACGTAAGAATAGAACAATACTCTTATTCCTATTGTCAGACGATAACATTGATCATTATATGACTGCACTCATCTACCTCAAAATCAGTCGCCAGTATTCACACCATTACCTTACACCATTGAACAAGTCTGACCAATCAAATGCCACTGAGGAATGGCTTTTCCGTTCCATCAGCTCCGCTCAATGCGCTCCCGTCCATAGTCGAGTACTACCTTAAGCTAAGCTACCTACCTTACTATGAAGTAACACTTTGACGAGTAGATTAAAACAAGTTCTCAATAGCTCAACCTTTCATCTAGCATTCTTCTTCATTGAGAGCAACTGATCCAGCTTATTTGAAGAAAGAAAAAGGACTATCATCTCTTCATCACCATTCTCCGCTTGTCGACAATTACATATTGAACCTATTCCTCCGTCTTTCGACACCGCGTTTACATTCACCAAGACAACAGGTGCTTTCTCTCCCTTGATACCACTCATAATGACTAGCCGTCGCTCTCAAGAGAAATCCTATGCAGAGGCGGCTGCCGCACCGCCACCAAAAGAAGCTGCCAGTTCTGACGTTACCCCTGCAGTTCCTGCGTAAGTAGTTCCATGTCACCAATACAGTCTGCAGTCCGAGTATATGGATCGCGCCATATATTAGATTGATATAGGCTTATAATTATATAGAGATGTCATCTACAAGCTGCTGGGATTCACAGCCGCCATGGTCGTCGGTCCTATCGGCATGTACTTTATCACAGTAAACTCTGGCGGTATGTCTTTCTTTCATCGGACCAGTAATTTCGCTTCATTCGAGATTGATGCTGACTCGGATAGCGAGTTCAACTGTGGCCGGTATCACCGCCGCCATCACTGCGAATCTGGTCTTATTCGGTTATATCTACGTGGCGTGGCTAGATGATAGAGAAGAGAGGGAAGCAGCATCAAAGAAGAAAGAGAAGAAGGCCCAGTGATTGGGTCGATTTCGCCAGCAAATTAGTTCCAGTCGCTTTATTCCCTTTCTCGATATACCTATATGTGTATTGATATGTTATGAGTTCGACCGGCAAAGTAGTGGACGCTATGTGTCGCGAAGCTCCGAAGCAAGTCTGTTCCGATATTTGTTGAATAGCACTGTTCGATCCATTTATGTTTCACGGTCAAGCATGCGACGATCGCCACACACTATGTGTGTCGCATGCACTTCGTCGTCCTCACAAGATGTCCAAGACTCAGATAAAATGGCCACTGACGCCTGCAGATGCACGAACAAGACTCGTGGTATGTGATAAAGTCAAGAAGTAGTGTTCAAAGAAACGCAAATTAAACTACTGTTGGTATCTATGCCGGTCTTCTCTTGACGAATTCCTCCAAATCAGCCTTGGTTGCAACCCCGAGTACAAACTTCCGGGACGCATCAGTGACCACGGCAAACTGCTGCTTTTCTCTCCTTTCTCCGTTGGGTCCTGTTTCACTCTCGAAGAACTGCTCTAGCTCCTCTAACGGCGTCTCCATTGTGATGACCTGATATGTGCCACGCTTGCGGTTAAAGCGCTGCATGGCAGTTGAGACAGGGTCCGTTTCCTTGACAGTGCCTTGTTTGAGCAACTCCTTGAGTCGCGGTATGCTGAGGTATCCGAGTAAAGACCGATTCGATGAGATGACTGTCAGGTGGGTATAATCGCGCTCATATGCTGCGAGCATGGCGGAGGCAATGGAATCGCTGGGAGAGACGGAGAGTGCAGGAGGAGGGTCCAGATCTTCAACAGTAGCCTACAACGGAGGTTAGTCACATCAAGGTGCTTCTTGTGGCATTCTGATTGTCATGGAGAGAAGACCAACCCCTCGGTACTTGTCAGCCCAGGCAGTCTGGCTTGTGGATACATCGACGTTTGGGGCGAGTTTCTCGCGAGCGAATGCCTCGCTGGCGGTCATATAAGAGGCCATTCTCGGAGAATAGTGTCACGGATTCAGGAGGGGTGTATTAGGATGAGGGGCAGAATAGCGTTCAGCAGTGAGTCGACTGCGGACCATCAATCAATGGCACTCTTGCTATAATGCTAAGTCACAAGAAGCCTGTAAAGGATTATTCGAACGCGCTATTGACTGTAATGGCAATCGAGCTTGAGTCAAGGTTAATTTTATCGACTGCGGCCCACTAACTTGGACGGATCGGGATCGGCGCGGAGGGGGAAAATGAGCGCCATTTTGTGACAGCAGTGAGCGGAGAACGGGTGTTTAGCTAATCAGGATGCCAAAGTACAAGTCCGACGTCATCGTCCTTCCGACCCTTGTCAGACCTCTTCGTCCTCTTCCCACTTCCTCGTTCTCGATGTAATCTTCATTAATTTCGCTTGGGATAATCTGTACCCGTGGCGTTTCTTTGAAGTGCAAAGTTTGAAATCAGATCTGTATTCGTACTCATCTTCTTGCCTTCGTCCAACCGGCTATTCCGCTCACCAGCCCTACGAGTGGAGACAACGACCTGGTATCGAGGATCCGTTCGTACCAGTCATTAATCAATTGACTAGACGCCGACAATTAATAGTATTCTAGCTAACTGCGAATCAATTCCAAATTGACAACCATGTTCCCTTCTGACAGTGTGATCCTCGAGGCCTTCCACGCCCAGAACCCTCTGAACCGTCCCAAAGAGCCCAAGCAAGCGGGATCTGCGGCTTCGATCAGACGGGAGCCTTTCCCGGCGTGGAGTGTGATTGATGAGTCCAAGAAGAAAGCCGATGCTTTCACTAAAGAGGCGGCTCGGGAATTCGATGTCGCCAGTCAAAAGGCTCAAGCTAAAACAGGCAAGATTGAGCCATGGACCCCCAAGTACTATGCAGCTTGCACTGTCGGAGGTCTGCTGGCTTGTGTAGGTCTCAGGAGTAATATCGTCTATTTTGATCTATATTTAACCGATTAACAGGGTCTCACCCACACAGCAGTGACGCCATTGGATTTGGTCAAATGCCGCCGACAAGTTGATTCGCAACTGTACAAGAGCAACATGGAGGCGTTCCGCGTGATTCGCAGTGCAGAAGGCCTGAGAGGCGTGTTCACTGGTTGGAGTCCGACATTTTTCGGATACAGCGTAAGCTGACGGTTTATGGCGCGGTTTTGATCAGAACTGACTGACAGGGGGCAAAGGCTCAAGGAGCATTCAAATATGGCGGTTACGAATTTTTCAAGAAGTTCTATTCTGATCTCGTGGGACCGGAGCGTGCCCATAAATGGAAGACCTCCGTGTATCTGGCCGCCAGTGCTTCGGCGGAATTCATCGCTGATGTCGCCCTATGCCCATTCGAAGCTGTCAAGGTGCGCACGCAAACAACTATTCCTCCTGAGTTCAAGGGGACTTTCTCTGGAATTTCTCAGGTCGTCGGCAAGGAAGGAGTTGCTGGGTAAGTTCATGTCGCTTCAGAATCTACCTCCTCAAGCTCTCACCACTGATCGCAACATAGTCTCTACAAAGGTTTGTATCCACTCTGGGGTCGGCAAATCCCATACACCATGATGAAATTCGCGTCTTTTGAAACCATTGTGGAAGCTATCTATAAGAGACTGCCCCGAAAGAAGGAAGAGTACGGCAAGGGCGCGCAGACTGCAGTCGCCTTTACTGGTGGTTACTTGGCCGGTATCCTTTGCGCCGTCGTGTCTCATCCCGCTGATGTTATGGTGAGTAAGTTGAATGCTAACCGACTGCCTGGCGAGGCATTTGGTGCTGCAATGGGCCGTATCTACAAGGATATTGGATTCATGGGTCTTTGGAACGGTCTCCCCGTCAGAATCGTTATGATCGGAACTCTTGTGAGTCCTCCTTTTGCACGTGTTTGCGGTCATGAGCTAACAACTCCTTGTACAGACTGGATTGCAATGGATGATGTGAGTTTCACCCTTCAAGTGTGATAAACAATGGCAGACATACTAACCTTTATAGCTACGACTCGTTCAAGATCTTCATGGGTCTTCCCACCACCGGCGGTGGACCTCCCGCCCAGAAGAAGGAAACAAAGGCCGCCGGCTTCTAGAGAATTGGTGGTAGGGTATCGTGATAATATCTTCGTGCTCAATCGGTTACAGTGAGCTCTGGAGGACAGTCTTTTTCATACAGTATGTTAAAAGGTAGTCATAATTCAAATGTCGAATAAAGTTTGTTGATCGATTGGTCTTCATGCACTCTCCCTCCGACTATGATAATTTCAATTGCTCACTCAAATAATTTGCCTGATAGGTATCGTTATCGCCAAGACATCTCTTATCAGTAACCACTTTAGTCACAATTCGGACCAATCAGTAAACACTGCTGGCGTATCTTATCAGCCCACTGCGCCTCGACGTCACAGGGACTCTCCAGTCTCCGAGACCACGAGGCTCGATGCATGCTTGACGACTGGTTCATCATCATCATATAACGATGACCTTGGTTTCCTAACAATCCCTACAATCCTTTCAGGGGTAGAATGAGTGGTGCGGTTTTCCCTATTCTGTAGTCTGACTTGTTAGCGAAGTTGCCCCGTCTAGTTCTTATCTTATATATCCCTCACTCACATCCCGCATTTGCCTACGGCCCCTCCACTGAGCACATTGTTTATCATCAGGTAAGTCATAGTATCCGTAACATCAACCGATTCACACTTCTAACCTCTTCATCCCAGTATCTCCCTCGCTTCTGCAGAATACATACCTACCAGACACAAACACCATCTAAAAAACAAAACAACCCACCACCATGGGCGAAAACGAACCAATCGTCTCGCACGGCCGCGGAGGTACGCATCCCATACATACCTGTCCACAATAACCCTCACGAACCACCTCTAACACGCATCGCAAACCAGGCCAGGGCAACATCGGCGCAGACCCCACCCAGTACGTTCGACCCCCGCACCCGGAACCATCCCATCCAACCCACCCTCTAACCTAACCCCAGATACGTCGATGCCGGCATTGTCCGCGAAGGGCCCTACGGCGACCAAGGCGACGGCGCCTACTCGGCTGGTGTAAGTCCCACCCTGTCCCACGCCAATCAAGCAGGCTGCAGGACAAGTGAACAGATACTGAGAGAAATGCAATGACAGCGCGGCGGAGCCGGCAACATCGGCTCCCCCAACGTGCGACCCACGTCGCGGGTGCCCCACGATGCGGAAATCATCCCCGAGCTGGCGATCCGCAAGTCGACGGATGAGAACTACCATGTTGGTGTATGTCATTGTTCATGTTCATGTCTTCCTCTTCCGTCCCGTCTCGCTTTTATCTTCAGCGCCAGCGGGTTGGAGCGTTGTTGTGTGCTGTAACTAACTGTACCTGATTTATCCAGCGCGGCGGCCAGGGCAACGTTCATCTGGACGAGGAAACCCGTAAGGAGAAGGAGGAGAAGAAGCGCCAGCATCATCAGCATCATCCTGAGGGGTTGGCGGATAAGCTCAAGCATAAGCTTTTTGGGAGGGGTTAGATGGTACGTTAGAGCGAGGGAAAGGTAGATTGTTGTTATGCCAGTACCGTGTTTAGGATTTTGTTATGATTCCCTGTCTGCTTTTGATAGTCCTAGGTCTATCGTTTGCTTGTCTTTGTGGCATCTACCGAGGACGGATTGTCTGGTCAGCCTGTAGAATAAAGTGATATGCACAACAGAGTCTAGACCTCGTTATGTAAGTTGTAAAAACCTGTTGATCAAACAGCTACAGTCTAATTAGTCTATCGTCATCCTGCATAAGCCTATGACCATGTAGAACTCAGGTGTGATATCAACATACACTGCCTGTTGATCTCTTGACGTAATCAGAAACAGGGCGCAAAATATGTACTCGAAATATCAGGCAAACACGAGAACGGCACATTAATCAATTGATGATTCGCTCGGGCATCCATGTATCGTGACATCGTCAAGCATAAACGTCAAACTGTAAGACAGCCCGATGAAAACAATCAGGAGCATTAACATTAACAAAAACGCAAAGACGCAATTTCCCTGTTTTTCCATCTCTGAACTCGAGAAAAACGCCCACTAAGAACAATCATTACATACGTTAGAAGAATAGCGAATGAGAACCAGATAACCACCGATGTATGCCTTAATCCTTGCCAAACTTGCGCTTAAACCAGCTCTTTCGCTTGTCCCCTGTATCGGACATGTTCACCGATTTCCGCAGTTGACGACGGTTGGGCGCTGACGCGGCGGCTGGGGTGCCGCCGACAGGGCCCCCAGCGTTAGGATCGAAGGCCGGTGCTTGGTTGAAGCTATGTACGGGGGGTTTTGGAGGTGCCGGCGCATAGCCATTGATATTGGGTTGAGAATTGAACCCTTGCTGTCCAAATTGTAGCTGCTGGGACAATTGGTCGATCGAACTGTTCACAGAACTGGGGTCGGTCGAATTGCCCCAAGCATCAGTGTGGCTTCCACCCGACCCAGAAACTGCAGTGATATTATCGACGGATTTCTGGTATGAATGTTGTGCGTATCCATTCGAGCCGTTGCTGTATCCTGTCTGATCGGTATACATCCGCGGGCTGGGTCGTGGTCGACGGCCGCCGCCTTGGTTGTACGGGTAGTAGCCATTATCTTGAGGTTGGCCACTGTAAGTATCGACATAACTCTCTGGTCGCGAATAGGTTCCCCGTTGATTGAAGTGTCCACTCTGATCACTGTATCCTCTGTTTGGATAGTACCCGTTTCCACGGCTGGACTCTACATGAAGCAACGGTTGTTAGCATACTGTATCACAGAATGACAGTCCGACCGATTGCATATTGTCTTCACAGGTGAAAGGTTTAAAGCGCGTATTTACCTCCATAGTAGCTGCCACGTTTGTTGTGCTCTCCACCGTTAGGCGACTCTGTAGACACGCTTGTTAACAATATGAATGCATATGACAGATAGAGATCCAAACTCACCTGTTCTCGCCCAGGAAACGGGTCTACTACTGTACGTCCCTTCAAAAGCAGCTTCA